TGACAGTCCCACTGACACACAAACAGGCAGGATGACAGCCCCACTGAAAAACAAACAGGCAGAATGACAGTCTCACTGATGCACAAATAGGCATGATGTCAGGCAAAATGACACACAAACAGGCAGGATGGCAGCCCTACTGACACACAAACAGGCAGGATGACAAGCACACTGACACACAAACAGACAGGATAACAGCTAGTGACAGACAAACAAACAGAACAACAGGCCCACAAACAGGCAGAATGGCAGGCCACACTGACTGACAAACAGGCAGAACAACAGGCCCACTGATATACAGACTGGCAGAATGACAGACACACCAATGCACCAACAGGCAGAATTAAGGCAGACTGACACATAAACAGGTAAAATGACAAGCACATTGACACACAATTAGGCAGGTTGACACAAACTGGCAGCTCATCAGGCACACTGACACACAAACGTGCAGAATGACAGGTTGGCAAACAGGAATAATGACTGACAGTGGACAGATCAATCAACATACAATCAAAGTAAGAGATAAACTGAAACAGAAACAGGTGGACTGACTGACAGAGGGGTTATCAGATAGACTACCCTGACTTACTTTGCACTCTGATTCTTCGACTCCCAACCATTCGAAGATGTTTGCGGAAATTTCTGCAGGTAAATAACAGGAAATTTAAAATCACCATGAACCAATCTGAGCCCCTTCAAGGGCAAAACTGAGCAATGATCTCACTGTGGCTCTGGTTACATGTGGTTTTATGCCTGTTTACTGCAAAATAACAGCACAGGCACAATATATTGGAGCAGCAAACAATGCTATGAAGGAGTCAACTTGTTGGGGCAGGCACAAAGGAATTTCCTTTGTCAGTTGCATTGGACCAGGACCTATTCAATTGGTGGGTGGTGGGAATAAGAGACCCACTTTGGTGACTTGTGGATTAGGTTGTGTAATTAGTTCCTGGTTTATTTTCTGTAGTCGATAAGGTTGATTTAGTCAATAAGGTTCACAATGGCCCATGGAATATTCCTCCTGCAATAATTGGGAAATCAGGGACACCTCCACTCTCCATGCTGACCACATATGCAGAAAGTCTGTTCAGCTGCAGTTCCTGATTTGCCGCCCAGAGCTGCGGATGGACTCACTATGGAGCATTCATGAGGCTCAGAATGTCGTGATAGCATGTTTAGCGAGCTGGTCACACCACCAGTAACAGGCATACACAGAAGAGTTGGGTGAAACCAGGAAGATAAGTAAGCATGGGCAGGCAGTGCAGGAGTCCCCTGTAGCCATTCCCCACTCAGACAGGTATACCATTTTGGATACTGTTGGGGGGGAATAGCTTCTCAAAGGAAAGTAGCAGTAGCAACCAGATCAGTGGCACCATGACTGGCTCTGTTCTACAGCAAGGAGGATCAAAGTGTAGGCGAACAGAAGGCACAGATGTTTCTGTGGCCGCGAGGATGGTACGTGGTCTCCCTGGTGTCAGGGTCAAGGGTGTCTCTGAGCAAGCATGGATATTCTGAAGGGGCAGGGTGAGCAGCGAGGAGTTGTAGTCCAAATTGGTACCAATGACATGGGCAGACAGAGAGATGAGGTCCTGCAAAGGGAGTTAGGAAGGAAGTTAAAAAGCAGGACCTCTAGGGTTGTACTCTCAGGATCGCTTCCTGCGCTAAGTGCTAGTGAGGCTAGGAATAGGAAGATAGTATAGTTAAATACATGGTTAAAGAGCCAGTATAGGAGGCAGACCTTCAAGCATATAGATCATTGGGATGTCTTCCGGACGGCGGGGGAAGGTGGTTTGGACCTGTCCAAGCACAGGTTGCATCTAAACTGGAGGGGCTCCAATATCCTGGCGGCAAGGTTTGATAGTGCTACTCACAAGGGGTTAAACTAGTGTGGGAAGATAGAAAGAATAGTTGGATTTTTTTTTCCCAGGGCAGAAATGTCAATTACTCAGGGACATAGGTTTATATAAAAGGTGAAAGTTTAGAGGAGAGTTGTAAGTACCTAGAATACGCTGCCAGAGGAGTTGGTGGAAATGGATACAATAACAAGGTTTAAGAGGCATCTTGACAGATATATGAATAGGCAGAGAATAGAGGGATATGCACCACGTGGAGGCAGAATGATTTTAATTTAGAAAGGCATGATGTATTGGCGCAGTCTTGGTGGACCAAAGGGCCTGTTCCTGTGCTGTATTGCTCTTTGTTCTCTCATCGATGCTTGTTTCTCGGTTGACACTGAAGGACTGAGATTGCAATTGGCTACCCTTTCACCCACTACCAATGCCTAACAATAAGGACATCACGCTTTCATACACAGTCAGAACTTGGGAATAGAACACATTTCCATTCAGTCCAATTTCAAGCACAGTGTCAGTGTGTCTCAGCAATATCATCCACCGCTACACCAATCTGATATTGCTGCTGAAACAGTTAAGATACTATCTCCATTGTCCTGGAAAAGGTTTTTATTTATTCATTCACAGGATGTGGGCACCGTTGGCTCAGCCAGCATTTATTACCCATTCATAGTTATCCAGATAGCAATTTAGAGCCAACTTCATTGGATCCAGAGTCACACGTAGGTTAGACCAGGTAAGGACGGCAGTTTCCTTCCCTAAAAAGGCATAGGATTTTCTGAAAATCAATAATGGTTTTATGGTCACCATTAAGGGTCTTAATTCAGATTTCTTCTTATTAAATTCAAATTCCACCATCTGCCTTGGTGGGATTTGAACCCAAGTACCCAGAACATTACCTGGGTCACTGGATTAATAGTCTACTGATAATACCACTAGGCCATCATCTCACTGCATAACTAATGGCCAGACCTCTGCAAATTGACAGCTCATGATCCTGGCATGAACCACCAACATGGAGGTGCATTATTGATCAATTCATACTAAGCCCATGGTAATGTTGAACTACAGCCACAGAAAACTGGACAGAGAATGACCCACATAAATCCAAAAGGATCTGAGTTTACTGTGGAGAGAGGAGACAGTTGCCTGAGCCAAGAAGGGAAAACAGTATTTAAACTACAGTGTCACCAGTTACAAGGCAAGATGTTTTCTGGTTATGTGGCAGCCAGTCGTGTCTCCGATAAGAGGAGCCAGAGGAATTGGCAAAGAGCCACATACCTCTGGATCACAGCGGCACATTCGTTCTCCCGCTTCCTCCTCTTCCTTTCCATGCAGCCCCGGAAAGCCCTGAGGGAAAATGTGATCAAAGTTCACCTCAAACTGAGCTGTACATTGAAAATTGAGCACTGGCTCTCTAGACAAAGAGCAAAGAGTTGCTATGGAAATAGAAAAATAGAAGTACTCACGATATTCTTTATGACAGAATGGTTGATTGGCAGTAAAAAAGAAAAAAAAATCTTATTAATAGTTCTGAGTTAGACATTCAGTATCATAGAGAAGCTGTTAAATAACTCAGCCCAAAAACCAACAAATTCATTATATCCTCTTCCCCTATGCCCCTTACACAATCCCGACATAAAATCCCTATTTCCCAGGTGATGATATTTGCAAATATATTTCTATTTTACACTGTTTTATAACCTGTTCTTCTATTAGGAGATTGAAGAGATATATTAGAACTGCTTAACATAATCACTACAAAGGTGTTTATTAATGTTCACCCTGGGAATGTGGACCACATTTTACAAAAACTGGTCTTGACTGCACATGCCAAGTTGAGCACTGAATGCGGTAGTGGGCCCCAAGCTTAAACCACTGGTCGAAGTTTGACAGATTGGAGTGCTGAATAGCCATTTCAAAGAGCAGGCAAATTTCAGCCACATTAGAGTAGGATTGGGGCTACACAGATAACAAATGGGGCAGTCTGATTTCTGACCTTAAAAGACAGTAAGACATTAAGGATTTAAACATGCAAGGACACACTGAGATACCATTCTTTTATGTACACTGTCAGGGGATTCTTTAACCAGGTTAAAAAAAGATTAACGTATTTGTTAACTGATAGATGCAGGAAATTTATGAAAAAGCTTACTTCTCTGAGGATATAAAACAGGTTAAAAATAAATCTTGTTGAATTCTTGTCATCAAAATTGCCCGTAACGCCACTGTAGCTCAGTTGGATTATAAATTAAAATCTTGCCTTATGGAGCCCAGCTTGAAACCAGCAGTCATTACATTAAACCTTTTCTGTTGTTATCAGAAAGAGGGTTAAAAATGCTGCTCATTATTTTAGTTCTCCCACTCAATTGATTCATATTTAGACAATTGGGCCCACGTTCCCAGGATGAACATTAATTAGCATATTTGTCACCATTATGTTAAGCAGTTCTAATATCTCTTCAACCTCCTAATAGAAGAACAGATTGTAAAACAGTGCAAAATGGAAATATATCTGAACTGTATGGGCTTCCCTTCTAGTGATTTTAATCAATCTGATTTTTGCTTGGAGTACACAGGATGTGAGCCTTTGCCGAATGTGGAATGATGAGGCTTCATATCAGGTAGGGTCTTGGCAGCATTCTGTACATCAATGAGGTGATTCAAAGGTGGTAGAATGACATTTGTTGTGTCTGTATTTGCACTGTGCAAAGGGCAAGTCCCTAGTCTTCTGTGTAATAGTGATCGATGAAAAAGTTTTTGATAATTTATATGTTCCCATCATATTTAGCGAGAGCAGGAATATTGGTACAAGCAGATAATCAGTGTTGACAGAAATCGTGTCACCTGCCTATCAGGTATAGGATGATATTGACTCCATCCATATCAGAGTCTTTGAAAGTAATTTTGCAACAGAGTGAAAACAGGAAATGCTGGAAATCACAGTGGGTCAGACAGCATCCATGGAGAGACAGCAAGCTAACATTCTGAGTCTAGATGACTCTTTATCAGAGCTGATGTGAAGTGTGTAGGGAGCAATAGTGGTAGGGGTGGAGTGCTTTCTCCCTTTCTCCCCTAGCACTCCAACATCGCCCCTCCACCCCCCCCGATACCATTGCATAAATGCTGCCCCCTCCACATTTCACGTTAGCTCTGATGAAGAGTCATCTAGATTGGAAACATTAGCTTGCTCTCTCTCCATGATGCTGCCTAACCCACTGTGAATTCCAGCATTTTCTGTTTTCAGTACAGATTCCAGCATTTTGCTTCTGCAACAGAGTGGACTGCTAATGTCCTAAAGTGAAACGCCAAACTCAAAGACAACCTTTTCAATCTCCTTATCTCCTAAATTTCATTCCCTCCCTTCCCATGTCTTTTTTCCTTGATCTGAAAGCGTCATCTGGCCCTGACTCCCCAGACACCACATCACTGTTAGGGGACTGCCTGGTAGTTATTAAAGAAATAAGGACTTGGATTTATCTAGCACCATTCATGAATGCTAGACATCTCAAAGTATTTCACAGCCAATGTAGAACTATTGAACTGTAGTCACTGCAATTAGAAGGAATTGCAACAGTCAATTGTGCACAGTAATGTTCTCTCAGATAACTGGATAATTTCTGGTGCTAGTTGAAAGATAAGTATTAACTAGAATACTCAAAAAATTCCATTGTTCTTGAACAATGCTGTAAAATCTTTTATGATTAGTTTGCAGGTGCAGCATGACATAACATGTAAGTGAAAATGCACTATGGAAAGCTCTTTGACGCTACATGAAATTCCCCTGTCTTTGTATTGCCAATTGGGTGTATTCTTATCACACAGCATTATTTCACATCCTTGTCCATTATAACCGTAAAAGGTTCATTAAACTAACTCCTTGTTTTGGTTAAAGTCCACATATGCAAGAACTAGCGTGGAATGCCCAACATCAGTCTGGTTGTGTAAATACCCCTGGCAGATTGACAGGAAATGAAGGGCCATGATAAAACTGTACCAGTGATTGGACATAGTGGAGATTCATTCAGTCCTTAAGTGAGATAGGGTCTCACGAGATAAATGATCCCTTTCTCATCTCCATTAACTGACCTATCCAATGGATGAGGGAAGTCACTCTGACTGGTTTAGCTCAGTCAACTGTCCCTCAAATGATGCAGAGTACTTCTCTTTCCTTCGTATCAGGAGGCTGTGGGTTCAGGATTTGCATAGAGGTCTGGCACTAATCTTTACTTGAGGTGTTCTCCTAGTATTCTGGCACGATTGATCTATTGTGCAACACCTCAAACAGATGTTTGTTTTACCACATAGCATGCGACTATTACAAAGTGGAATTTCAGTTGCCCATGTAGATCTTTCTTTCTCTCCTTCCAACTCTAATTCAGCTAATACTGCAAAAACAGATCAGCAATTTCTATAACTCATTCACAATTAGTGGGAGCTTCCTACATTTCTGACAGTGGATACACTTTAAAAGTACTTCACTGGTGGCAGAGAATTTCGGGCAATCTGAGATTATGAAATTTGTTGCATAAATGCAAATCATTTTTCATAATATGGATACTACGGATCAGCCTCCTGACTCATCTCTGAATGAGCTCCTGGGTTTGTAATATGCCAATTTGTCACAGTGGCTGAAGCTAGTACCTGAGGCACTGCACGGCTGCACTGTATAAACTGAAACTTGACTGTAGCAACAAACTGGCATTCATTCTTACAAAATTGGCAATCTCTACATGGATCATAAGGAGTAACAGCCCATCAAGCTTGCCCTTCCATTCAACGAGATTATGGCTGATCTTCCACTTGAATGCCATTTTTACGCACAAGCCTCATCTCCCTTGCTGTCATTAATATTTAGAAATCTGTTGATCTCTGTCCTGAACGTTCTCAATGACTGAGCATTCTCAACAACTGAGCCACAACAGCCCTCTGGGGTAGAGAATTCCAGAGATTCACTACCCTTATTGAAGAAATTTGTCCTCATTTTGACTTTAAATGGTCTGTCCCTAAAACAGAGACGGCGTCCGCTGGTTATACATTCTTACGGCCAAGGGAACAGCCTTCCTCCAGATTAATGGGCTCACTGTGTAAAATCATATCTGTTAAATAGATTATTAATATAAATATTGATCCGCACGTTCATGCTAAGGGTGATGTAAAACAAGTCAGCAATTTGAACCAAGCCTCCTGTCACCTTGCATTAACTCTGTTTGATTTTGGAGACTTTGAGAGTGTACCCACACAGATCTGTTCAAATCTGGTTCAGTTCATGAGGCAGTGCTACCTTTAAATACTGGATTAAATCATAGTACAAGTACCAAAAGAACCTGTATAAGTTCCTGTATAACTAAGACATCAAACATCTTAAAGGAGCAACTTGTCTTCACTAAAGCTGAGACAATGTCAACCTAGCCTCTGAATTGGTAATGAAGGTGGTGAAAGGATGGGAATGCTCTTTCAAGTTTAACCCATTGCCTAGGCACCACAGAGGAATGAGAAATTCTGGGGCAAATGAAATACAACTAATAATATCAGGGCTTTGAAAGCACTGTGGATTCAAGATCAGAATAATCACAGATCCCTTTACTACTTGATCTGTTCAATGCCACAATGGATTATCATCAAGAAAGTTGTTGGCTGAAAGCCTGCAGTTATTACATTAATGCATGGGACACAGCTGGTATATTACATTTACATTCAGTTGTAAATTCACAAATGGAGTGCTCAATATCCATGCTAGCTGTCTGAATCTACTGCTATTCAATATTCAGTGTGAGCTCATTAAACGCCAAACTGAGCTCTGAAGTGCTGGCATATCTCACACATTTAACAAAAAACACTGATAGAAATAATAGGTCAGAAGTGCTTCAGCAAAGGCTTGAATATTGGGTGGCACCAATTAGTCCCAGATTAATGGAATGCTATTTAAGGTCTAGGAAGCATGTGGACCAGTGCTCCAGCCCCCGTAAGTACATGCTGTTTCTGTTATTACTGCATTCAGATGTAGCTTGCTCTCATATACAGTACACACTGGATAAAGAGGAAATCTCACAGGAGTAACTGCACAGCTCATGCAGAACCAGCTCATCTTTATTGGCTACACAGAAATCAGGAATGATCCATTCCATCTGGTACTTTTAAGCTCACACATGTCCTAGTCTCAGCTTTTCTATGTGTATACAGGGAATATTTAATTTTCTACTGCCTATATCCTAACTCTTGCGAAGTCTCATTCACTGTCAACTCTGTGCTCACTGACCTACATTGCTCCGGGATCCGGAATGCCTTGACTTTAAAATCCAATTCCTTGGGTTCAAACTTTCTGATGGCCTCAACTTTTCCCAACTCTGTAACCTTTTCCAGTCCCTCAACCCTCTGAGATGGCACCATTCCTCCAATTCGAACATCTTGTACATGCTCCACTTCCCTCAACTCAGCTTTATCAATGCACTATTAGTCATCTATTGCCTAAACTCTGGAATTCTAAAACTCAAGACTGTTTCTTTGAAGATAATCCCTAGAGCCAATCTCTTTGACCAAGCTTTGGTACAAATACTCTTTTTTGGCTCAATGTCAAATTTTTACTCAAATCACAGTCCTGTGCAATGGATTATACTACCACTTACTATGTAAATGCAAGTTGTTATTGATGCTGTACGGCTTGCATGTGTCCCCATGTCATCTTAATTCACACACGGCGAGTAATCAGTCCATTCCATCAGATACAGCAGTCTTTGTGTCAGCCCCAGTGAATGTGTAAAATAGGAACACAAAAATGCTAGAAGAACTCAGAAGGTCAGGTAGCATTGGTGTTGACGCTGTAGATTGATGTCCTTTCATCAGAACATTGACATGAGACGTTAATTCTGTCACTCGCCACAGATGCTGCCTGACCTGCTGAGTGTTTCCACATTCTTTTTGTTCTGACTTCAGAATTCCCACAGCACTCTGCACTATTCTGCTTTTCCACTAAACATATTGTTGGTTTTAAAAGCAATGGCTCATTCCTTTTGTGACACTGTACATCTTGTTTGTGTCTTGGAAGGAGCTCCTGTGCAGGGCATGGTTTAAAAAGGGAACATCTCAGTCCCGTTCAGCACTGTAAAACAATTTATATTTCCATCCCACCTTTGATGTAAACTGTGCCAAAGGCTTCACAGGAACACCATAGGGCATGTGTTTATAGCATAGCAGTTCAGAGACGATTATCTGAACACATGAATTCAGAGCAGGAGTAGGCATTCAGTCCCTTGAGCTTGGATAATCTGATTTTAACCTCAAATCTGCATTCTCTCCTACCCCAATAACCTTTCAGCCCTTTGCTCAACAAGTACCTTTCTATTTTTGCCTTAAAATGTTCAGGCTCTGCTTCCATCACCTTTTCAGCAAGAAGAGTTCAAAGAATCACAACTATTGAGAAAGAAAATTCCTCATCTCTGCTTTAATTGTGTGACATTTGATTTTTAAAGTGGCCCCTATTTCTAGATTTTCCTATTAAGAGGAAATATCCCTTCCACATCTACCCTTCAAGACCCCTCAGGACCTTACTTTTCCAAAGATCGGTGGATACAAGCCTAGCTGTCCAACCTTTCTTCATAAAAAAACTTACCCATTCCAGGAATTAGTCCAGTAAACTTTCTCTGAACTGCTCTAACATACTTACATCATTCTTTGAATAAGGAGACCAATACTGTACACAATACTCTAAATGTGGTCTCATCTGCATAACTGAAGGATAACCTCCTTACTTTTATATTTGATTCCCCTCACAATAAATTATAACATTCTATCAGCTTTCCTAATTATTTGTTGTACCTGCATACTAACGTTTTGCTATTCATGTGTGAGGACAATCAGTTCCCCTGCATATCACAGCTCTGCAATCTCTCATCATTTAGAATCATTTCACATTTTCTCCATTTGCCACATCTTCGCTCACTCACAACCTATCTATATCTTTTGTAACTTATTAAATTCATCTTCATACCTTACTTTCCTACCTATCTTTGTGTTGTTAGCAAATGTGGCATCCATACCCTCCATCCCTTCATCTAAGTCACTTACATTGATTGTAAATAGTTTAGGTCCCAGCACAGATCCCTGTGGCACACCACTTATTACATCTTGCCAACCTGAAAAAGACCCATTTAAGGCTACTCCCAGCTAGTCTTCTATTCATCCAAATATGATTCCCACTACACCATGAGATTTTTATTTTTCAGAATATTCTTTGGATGTGGCACCTTATCAAAACTTTTTTTGTAGATCTATGTACAGTACATCCCCTGTATCATACTCACGCTTGCATTGTGGTAGTTGCTGTCTGGAAGTTGAAGAGGTTTTCCTTTGGGAACCAAGTCCTAATTGGGACATCGTCTGAAACAGAAAAAGTATTTCACTTAAAATTATCCAGAGGCAAAGACTAGAATCTTCATTGGCCTCTTCCTACTGCAGTTCACCTTTGCCAGGACAATAACTGCTGGCCTAGTTAATGATGCCTATGTCCGCGAACAAATAAAAGACATGCAAAATACATATTGCTGTGCCCATTGATTTGTATACATCCCAAGTTGTTAAATCTAACAGAACTTAGAATCAAAATCATAGAGTGACTTCAGCACAAAAAGAGGCCATTGGGCCCATCATGTCACAGCCAGTCCTTAGTAAAATCAACTCAACTAGTCCCACAGCCCTGCCTTTTCCTCATAACCCTGCTAATAGTTTTTGCTTTAGAGAATTATTCGATTTCCTTCCGAAGTTCACAACTGAATCTGACCCCACCACACTTTCAGGAGATACTTTCCAGATCCTATCCATGCACTATATACATATGTTTTTTGTCAATGTCCTCTGGTTCCCTTCCAACAATCATGTCAGCTTCTTTCTATCCATTCTTTCCAGAGCCATCAGGATTTTGAAACCCTCAATCAAATCTCCTCACAAACATATTCTTTGTAAACAACACTCCCAGTTTTGCCAAACAACCCTCAGAGCTCCTCATTTCTGGAATCATTCTTAAGTTTTTTTTCTGTTTTGCTACAATGCCTTCATACCCTTCTCAAAGTGCAGTACCCACAACTGGGTGCAATACGCTAGTTGAGGCTGAACCAGTGTTTCAAAAAGTTGATTGCAGCTCCCTTGCTTTTATATTCTATGCTTTTATTTTTAAAGCCCAGCATATGTGTGTCTTTGTTACCTGCCTTACCATTTTCAATTATTTATACATAGGGAATTGAATTCTTTATTTTATACTGTCACTTTTCATTTTATTTTTCCAGAATGAAACATTTCACACCTCTCTGCACTAAATTTCATTTGCAGATATCCACGTATTGTACCAGCCTGTCTGTGTCTTCTCAAACTCCATCACTATCCTCCTTATAGTTGACAACATTTCCAAGTTTTGTATCACTTGCATTGTACCTGCTGCTGCTTACTGGTGAGTACGGAAATGGCACAATAGAACAGATGAAAGCATAGCCAGAGAGATGATGCAGGAGGTGACAGCATTAAATTCCTGGGACAGAAGGAAAGGATCTGGGGAAGGTAGCATAATGATTAACTTTTCAATGAGGCAGGAGATTCAAACTCCTTAAGTTTCAAGGACCACCTGGCATCAAACAAGGGACCGGAAAACACAATGGCAGGAAGAGTCCCATCAACTGTGCAAAGTCCTCCTGATTAATATCTTGGATCTACTGTCAAAATTGGGAAAATTGTCTCACAGACTAGTCAAGCAACAGCCTGACACAGTCATACTCATGGAATCATACCTTACAAACAATGGCATAGCACCATCGTCACCATCTCTGGATATGTCACTTAGCTCTATCTCTCACTTGCTGCTTATGCTGTCTGGCATGCAAGTACTTCTATTTGGTAGCTTCACCAGGTTGACACCTCATTTTTAGGTATCCAATGTGCTGCACTTTGCATTCCCTCCTGCACACTCCATTGAACCAGGGTTAATTCCTTGGTTTGATGGTAATTATTGAGTGAGGGATATATCGGGCTATGAGGTAGTAGATTGTGCTGGGGTACAATCACAGATGTGAATGCCCAGTGTTGAGTTGCTAGTTTCTCTGATTTCTCTCCACAGATGCTGCCAGACCTGCTGAGCTTTTCCAGCAATTTCTGTTTTTGTTTCTGATTTCCAGCATCTGCAGTTATTTCAGTTTTTATTGAACTGCTAGATCTGTTTGAAGCCTGTCCCACTGCACAGTCCTTGTGGAGACGAAGTCCTGCCTTCACATTAAGAATACCCTCCATCGTACTGCATGCCACTATTAATGTGCTAAGTGGGTGATCAGATTGTGCTAGGAGCAGCATCAGGCATACCTGAAGATGAGGTGTCAACCAGGGCAACTTGCATGCCAAACAGCTTTTGCAGCAAGTGATAGAGCTAAGTGGTCCTACAATCAACGGATCAGATCTGAGCCCTGCAGTCCTGCCACATCCAGTTGTGAATGGTGGTGGACAATTACACAACTCATTCAAGGAGGAGGCTCCACAAATAACCCCATCCTGAATAATGGAAGAGCTCAACACATCACAGCAAAAGATTAGACTGAAGCATTCACAGCAATCTTCAGCCACAAGTGCCAAGTGGAAGATCAATCTCAGTCTCCTCCTCCTAGGATACTTCACATGATATCAAGAAATGGTTGGAGATACTGGATAATACAAAGTCTACAGACCCTGACAACATTCCAGTAATATTACTGAAGACTGGAGCTCCAGAACTTGCTGCTCCCCTAGACAAGCTGTTCCAGTACAGATACAACAGTGGCATCAATGCAACAATATGGAAAAATGCCCAGGTATATCCTGTGCACAAAAAACAGGACAAATCCAACCTGGCCAATTACTGCTCCATCAGTCCACTCTCAAACATCAGTGAAGTGATGGAAGATGTCACCAATCATGCTATCAGGCAGCACCTGCTCAGTGACACCCAGTTTGGGTTCTGCCAGGGCCACCCAGCTCCTGACGTCATTAAAGCTTTGGTTCAAATACAGTCAAAAGGGATAAACCCAGAGCCCTAGCAAAACTGGAGTCAACTGCTATCAGAAGGCAAGTTCTCTGCTGGTTGGAGCCATACCTGGCACATAGGAAGATGGTTGCGGTTGTTGAAGGTCAGTCATCACAGCTCCAGGATATCTCTGCAGGAGTTCCTCAGGGTAGTGTCCTAGGCACAACCATCTTCAGCTACTTCATCAATGACCTTCCCTCCATCATAAGGTCAGACGCAAGGATATTTGCTGATGATTGCACAACATTCTGTACCATTCATGACTCTTCAGATCCTGAAGCAGTCTATATTCAAATGCAACGAGATCTGGACAATATCAAGGTTTGGGCTGAGAGGTGGCAAGTAACATTCATGCCACACAAATGCTGGGCACTGGCCATCTCCAATGAGAGTTATTTCAAGCACCATCCCTTGATATTCAATAGTGTTACCATCAGTGAATTCCCCACTATCAATATCCTTAAGGTTCCCAACAACATCCTTAGCATTACCGTTGACCAGAAACTCAACTGCAGTCACCACATAAGACAGTGCTTACAAAAGCAGGTCAGATGCTAGGAACACAGCTCTTCCCAAACTCATGACCACTTCCATCTAGAAGGTCAAGGGCAGCAGATATATGGGAACACCACCACCTGCAAGTTCCCCTCCAAGCCACTCACCATCCTGACTTGGAAATATATCGCTGTTCCTTCACTATCACTGGGTCAAAATCCTGGAATTCCCTCCCCAATGGCATTTGGATCAACCCACAGCAGGTGAACTGCAGCGGTTCAAGAAGGAAGCTCACCACCACCTTCTCAAGGGCAACGGGGGACAGGCAATAAATGCTGGCCAACAGTGACGCCCAGACCCCACAAATGAATTCAGCATTCAGGGGTTGTCCTTGCTCCTGGGGTCTCACGTCGGGACACTGTAACCCTGGGAAACCTGTGGTCAAATCATAAGGGCCTGTTCCCAAAATTTCATACACTTTGATTCCAAAGAGATCAGTCTCTACATTTCGGCAGTCTTGTCTCCAGAATCTCACAAGCCTCCTCTCTGGATTGTAATTCACCTGGATACAGTCCAATCACACTTTATTAGCGGATTGTTTCGAGTATTTACTAGTCTGGAGCTGATTCCACTACTCTTCATTTACCTGCAGATTAAACAGCAGTGTTGGGGGAGAATGTGCTTTGGTGGTAATGTGAATGAACCAGAAATCCTGAGGCGCAAGACCATGTTTTTGGAACACAGTTTCAAATCTCATGACCTCCGCTGATGGAGTTTGAATTTAGTTCATAAAATGTGGAATCAAAAGATGGCCTCAGTAATGACCACAACAAGTCATCAACTGTTGTAAAACCCATCTGGTTTACTGGTGCCCTTTAGTGGGGGAGTAAATCTACCAAAGATCAGCAATGTGCCTAACTCTTACCTGTCTTCTGAAAATGGTTGAAAGCCACTTCATTCAAGGCAATTAAAATTGAGCAATAGATGTTGATACAGTGCCACTCTCATCCCTAAGGGAGTATTAAAGAGTCCCACAGTCAACTTTCCATGTGTTTTATTTTATTCCCACATGGAATGTTGTGTCACTAACATTTGTACCCCATCACCAAATGCCCTTGATAAGGTGATGTGGAACTGCCTCTTGAACCACTGCAGTTCACGTGAGTAGACACATAGTGTTATTAGGGAGGGAGTTTCAAGTTTTGGAACCAGTGACATTGAAGGAATTTTCAAGTCATGATGGTGAGTGGCTTGGAGGGTGACTTGCAGGTGGTGGTATTCCCACATATATGCTGCCCTTGTTCTCAGCCATGTAGCGATCATAGGTTTGGAAGGTGCTGTCTAAGGAGCCTTGGTTAGCTTCTCCAGTGCATTTTGTACATGGTACACACTGCTGCTATTGAGTGTCAGTGGTACAGGGAGTGGACGTTTGAGTTATTGGAGGTGCATCCATCAAAGCAAGTTGGGAGTATTCCATCACACTCCTGACTTGTGCCCTAGACAGACTTTAGAGAGTCAAGAGATGAGTTACCCACAGCAAGATTCCTAGTCTCTGAAGCCACAGTATTTTACTTGTGACTAGTGCAATTGAGTTTCTGATCAATGCTAATCCCCGAAATGTTGATAATTGGGAATTCAGTGATGGTGGTGCCATTGAACGTCAAGGGCGATTGTCAGATTCTGTATTGCAGGAGATGGTCATTGCCTGGCATTCGTGTGATATGAACATTACTTACCAGTTGTCAGTTCAAACCTGGATATCGCCCAGATCTTACTGCATTTGGACATGGTCGGCTTCAGTATCTCAGGAGTTGTGAACGGTGCTGAGCGTTATGCAATCATTGATGAACATTCCAACTTCTGACCTTATGATGGAGGGAAGGTTTCAGGAGAAGGCAACTGTAAAAGTTGGCAATTGAGTCTGTTTATTGTAGTTAACAGCAGATTCTAACTACCCTAGGTTGGATGACCCCAGTTCATACATACACTTCACTCTACCGATTCAGAGCATTTAGGAATGCAGATATATTCGCTCTGTTGTGGTTCTACAAGCATATTGTAACCCAGTTACCTGGAATATGTTACTACATAGTACATGCTGTCTGCAGTTTCCTAGCAACCAATGGCAAATTATTTCTCAATAAGATTGCAAACACAGTGTCAGAATGGTAATGCAATTGTTTTGGAACTTGATATGGGGGAGGGGTTGTCAAGGAGTTACAACTGTCCCTATTTTCCAGGGAACATAGATGGTTGCTGGTCAGTGGAATTCTCTTTCCCAGTGGAGGGTAAACCATTGAATATACTCAAAGCAGAGTTCAACAGATTTTTGACTGACGAGGAAGTCAGGGTTAGGATGGCAACAAACAGAAAAGTGGTGTTGAGACCAGAACCCTCAATAGCAAAAATGAGTGTCATTTATAAACTGCAGAAACTCACAAAACCTCTGCAGACAGCACCCTCCAAACCCACAACCACCTCCATCTGGAAGGACAAGGGTGGCAAATATATGGGGATACTATCAACAGCAAGTTCTCATCCAAGCTACTCGCCATCCTGACATGGCAACAACTGCAGTTCCCTCAGTGTTGTTGGGTCAAAATTGTGGAACTCCTGCCCTAATGCCTTCAGTTTGTGGATTTTCCTTCATGTTCTGGACCAATTTGGATGAAGAGTCACCAGACTTGTAATGGTAACTCTGCTTTCTTGCCACTGAATGCTGCCAGACATGCTGAATTTCACTGTCAATTTCTGTTTTTGCTTCAGATCTCCAGCATCCTCAATTCTTTGTTTTATTCAAGTTGTAGGTCTTCCTTCAGATCCTGGATCTACCTCTTAATGATATGGGTCTACCTTCAGGTGCTAGGTCTACCTTCAAGTTTTGGGTCTATGTTCAGGTCCTGGATCTATCTTTAGGATGTGGATATACCTTCAGGTCCTGGGTCTACCTTCGAATTGTGAGTCTACCTTCAAGCTACGGGTCTACTTTCAGGTCCTGGGTCTACCGTCAGGTCCTTGGTCCATCTTCAGGTCCTTTGGTCTACCTTCAGGTCTTTGGTCTACCCCTGGGTCCTGGGTCTACTTTCAGGCTTGAATGGCCTGCTCCTGCTCCTTGTCTCCCATAAAGATCCTAGAGCGGCTGTCCTGGTAGATTGCTGACATTAGTCTATCTCAGCTCCCTCGGTTCTCACCGGACACCCGGTCCATGCTGTACATGCGCTCGAGCTTCTTGCGATGGCGGGCGGCCTCGCGCGCCTGCACGTGCTCGCCGTCAACGGTCAGCAGCTGCGAGGAGCCTGCGGCCTTCGCACAGCCGGGACACTCCCTCGAGCTCTGCCTGCTGCCCGCCCAGTTCCTGCAGCGCCCGCCTCCGCCTCCGCCCGCCTGGGAGGGCCGTGCCTCCTTGCCGGGGGTACTCGTCGCTGCCGTCACCGTCCCCGTCCCCTCACTCTCCGTCTCCCTCTCCGACAGCAGCTGGCTCTCGCCTGAGATGGTGTAGACCCGCGGCTTCTGACCGTCGGCCGGCTTCTCCGCCCCTTCCTCCGAGAAACTCCGGTCGAATCTTCCCTGAGAGATCATGGAGAGGCGGCGCTTGTTCTGCGCGGGCTGTTGGATCTCCGAGGAATGCTCCGGGTCCATCAGGGTCTCAGCCACCAAGTGATCTGAAAGGTAAGGGGAAAGAGAGATAGAGATATGTGCACACACTTCTTCCCTTCCTGCAGCTTTTTCAAAGTTCTTTCACCTCAAATTTCTCTGGAGTACTGTACCTCAGCTCAGTTGGTAGTACACTCAAGGTTGTGAGCCCAAACCCTATTCCAAGACCTGGAACACACAAGCCTCAGTGAAGTTGACACTGCGTACAGTACTGAGGGTGTGCCACACTGTCAGAAGTGCCATCCAGATGCAACGGTAACCTGAGGCCTGCCCTCTCACACGGAAATCCCAGGCCACTACTGTGAATAAAGAAGAACATTCTTTCTTCCTGGTGTCCTGATCTATAGTTAATCCCGCAACCAATACCAGTAAAACAAATGGAAAACAGTGACAGGAACAGACAGAGTCCACATGGCTTTAGAAAGGGGAAATTGTGCTTGGCAAATGTATCAGAATTTTTCAACGATGTGGAGCAAATAAGCGGAGCCAATGAATGTGCTTTACTGGGACGTTCAGAAGGTTTTCGATAAAATTCCACACAAGAGATTAGCCTGTAAAATTAAAGCACATGGGATTGGGGGTAGCATGCTGAAACAGATAGAGAACTGGTTGCCACAGGAAACAAAGAGTAGGAATAAATGGGTCTTTTTTCCAAGTGGTAGACAGTGACTAATGAGGTTCCACACGGGTCAGTGCTTGGACCCCAACTAGTCACAATTTATATTAATGATTGAGATATGGGAATTAAATGCAATGTCTCCAGATTAGCAGATGACACAAAGCTGGGTGGGAGGGTGAACTGTGAGGAGGATGCAGACATGCTTCAGTGTGACTTGGACAAGTTGAGTGAGTGGGCAAATGAATGGCAGATACGGAATAATGTGAATAAATGTGAAGTTATCCACTTTGGTCATAAAAACAGTCAGACAGATTGGGAAAGGTGGAAATGCAACGAAACTTGGGTGTTCTGGTGTCCTGATCGATAGTTAATCCAGCAACCAACGCCAGTAAAACAAATGGAAAACAGTGATGGGAACAAACAGAGTCAGCATGGCTTCACAAAGGGGAAATCTCATTACTATTTGTGGGAGCTTGCTCTGCACAGATTGCTGCCTGCACTGCCTACATTACTACAGTGAATTCAAAACAGTGCACCCTGGGTTGCAAAGTAGTTTTGCACATTCTGGTTATCAATATTCACAGATTCCCCAGTGGATGTCATGTGTGGGGCTCTTGGCAGAGGCCAGAAACAGACTCAGCTGTGATGCTACGACATGCTTCCCTGCTGATGCCTGGTATGTTGGCATGGCAGGAGGGGACAGTGCAGCAGGATCTCCGTTCTGACCATCCCTGACAATGCGGCACTCCATCTGTATGATCCTGCGATAGTGCAGCACTCCCTCTGTGTGACCCTGTGATAGTGCAGCACCCCCTCAGTACTGACTCTCCCACAGTGCAGCACCCCCTCAGTACGTACTGTCTGACAGTGTGGCGTTCCCTCAGTATTGACCCTCTGACAGTGTGGCGGTCCTTCAGTACTGTCCCTCCTACAGTGCAGCACTCCCTCAGTACTGGCATTGTCTACTAGTCATTGTTTGCAGTGCGCAGCTGAACAGCGGAGAGCAGCTCAGTTTGGAAATGCAGTCTCTTTTGAGTCCAGGGCATGGTTTGAGGCATCTACATTGCTTCTAATGTCCAGGGATTGTGTAATTTAGGTTCTGATTAGAAACTGTTGCTTCTATTCAAAATCTGAGGTCCAATCAGATCAACTTATAATGATTTTAATGGATGGAATTATGAAATAGATTTAGAGTTATATATGAATCTTGATAATCACTGTTCCAGTTTGGTGTAAATTTCCTGTGTGAATTTTTTTCGCCACAATATCAAATTCTGATTCCCGGAGGACAGAATGAAGCTAAGAGATTTTGTACATTTTCCTCCCTCAGCTGGTGAGAGAGCAACAGGTGGTTGACCCACGTCATAGAATATAATATAACGCCAGCACTAATACAATGTACGATCCTGTTACACTCACCCACTCGGGGCCAGCAATGTCTCCTATCAAATAACGGCAATAGACCCTCAGTTATTTTCACATTACATAACACGCAGCAAGAACATAGCTTTCCTTTCCTGGACTCACAAAACCAACTGACCACCTCAGTGTATAAAGGAAATCACTTCCGACCATTCAAATACTGTTTTCTGCTCACTGTATAATTCTAATAATTTCAAATTTGTTCATTGGATGTTATTGACAATTTGCTCATCAAATGTTCCTGCTGATTTTTACAAATACATTACTTCAGTACAAACAGAGTGAGCAGCGTATCAGCTAACAATCTGTCTGACCTCAGTGTACAAACACAGAAATTGCTGGAAAAGATCATTGGGTCTGGCAGCATCTGTGGAGAAAAATCAGAGTTAAAGTTTCAGGTCTGGTGACCCTTGGAACTGATGGTAGCTAGGAAAATGTCGGTTTTTATGCAAAAGATAGGGTAGGGGAGGGTGTAAGGAGTAAACAATAGGTGATTGAGGAATAGAGCCCAGAGAGAGAACTTATGGACAGACAAAGGAGTTAATAACGATCTGACGAGCAGGATTAATAAACTGAGATAACAATCATTTTCTGAAGAAGGGTCTGGCCCGAAACGTCAGCTTTCCTGCTCCTCTGATGCTGCTTGGCCTGCTGTGTTCATCCAGCTCTGCACCTTGTTATCTCAGATTCTCCAGCATCTGCAGTTCCTACTATCTCAGTATTAATAAGCTGTTAACGGAGACTGTTAGTGGCAAACAATGGGTTGTGTGTAATAGCAGACTATATGATCACAAGACCTGGTGTGTCGTGGTGAGGTTTAGGACATAGTAGAATTCAAGCCCTAAAATTGAACTCGATATTGAGTCCAGAAGGCTGCAGGGTCCCCAAGCAGAAAATGAGGTTTTGTTCTTCCAGCTTAAGCTGAGCTGCACTGGAGCAAGCCAGAGACAGAGATATTGGCCAGGGAAAAAGGGTAGTGTGTTAAAGTGGCTGTTCTTCTCTCTCTTTGGGCTCCAAGCCCAATCACCTATCATTTATTCCTTACAGCATTCCCACACCTCCCCTCCCACCACCCTGTCTTCTGCATAAAATCTATCATTTTCTTAGCTACCATCAGTTCTGCGGATGTGTTACCAGACCTGAAACGTTAACTCTGATTCCTCTTCACAGATGCTGCCAGACTAATGAGCTTTTCCAGCAATTTCTGTTTTTGTTCCTGATTTACAGCATCCGCAGTTCTTTCAGTTTTTATTTAATATTGACCTCAGTGTATCCCTGATAGTCAGAACCCCAGTAAGAATTCTCCTTCAAAATAGTGTTATAACATCTTACACTGAGGAGGTTTGGGCTAACATCTCATCTGCAAGACAGAACCTCTGATGGTACAGTGCTCCATCAGTATTGACCTTCAACCTAACGCTTCAGTGGTGCAGTACTCCCTCAGCAATGATTCTGATTGAGACACCTCCTCAATGTTCACCTCCCAACAGTGCAACAGGCTGTTGGTTCTGACTATCTGACAACACGGCACTCCTTTTGTACAGACAGTATGACACTCCCTCCATACTGACCCTCTGACAGTATGACACTCCTTCTGTACTGACCCACCCACAGTGCAGCACTCCCTCAGTACTGACCCTCTGAAAGTGCAGCACTCCAAAGGTACTGACACTCTGACAGTAAAACACTCATTCAGTATTGATCTTCTGATAGAGCAGCACTCCATCCTTACTAATCCTCTAACAGTGCAGCATTCCCTCTGTATTGACCCACCCATAATGCAACACTCCCTCTGTACTGACCCTCCATGGTGCAGCACCCCCTATGTACCACTTTAATGTGTTGGCTAACTTTTTGTGCTCAAATTTCTGAAGTGGATCTTCAAGTGCTACCATCTAAGCCTTCTGGACGAGATAATGCAAAATGACTAAGGATCTAGAATACTCCTCCTCCCACCCACCTTCCTGCAAAAATGCTATCCCCTATTCCCAATTCCTTCGCCTCCGCCGCATCTGCTCCCAGGATGAGGCATTCCACTCCCGTACATCTCAGTTGTCCTCGTTTTTCAAGGACCATAACTTCCCCCCCTTGATGGTCGAGAACGCCCTCAACCGTGTCTCCCACATCTCCCGCACCTCATCCCTCACACCCCGTCCACGCAATAAGAACCAAAAAAGAATCCCCCTCGTCCTCACGTACCACCCCACCAAACTCCGGATCCAACGCATCATTCTCCGACACTTCCGCCATCTGCAATCCGACCCCACCACCAAAGACATCTTTCCCTCCCCACCCTTATCTGCTTTCCGGAGGGACAACTCTCTCCGTGACTCCCTTGTCCGCTCCACACTCCCCTCCAGCTCCACCACACCCGGCACTTTTCCCTGCAACCGCAGGAAGTGCTACACCTGCCCCCATACCTCCTCCCTCACCCCCATCCCAGGCCCCAAGAAGACTTTCCACATCAAGCAGATGTTCACCTGCACATCTGCCAATGTGGTATACTGCATCCGCTGTACCCGGTGTGGCTTCCTCTACATCGGGGAAACCAAGCGGAGACTCGGGGACCGCTTTGCAGAACACCTACGCTTGGTTCGCAACAAACAACTGCACCTCCCAGTCGCGAACCATTTCAACTCCCCCTCCCATTCCTCAGACGACATGTCCATCCTGGGCCTCCTGCAGTGCCACAACGATGCCACCTGAAGGTTGCAGGAACAGCAACTCATATTCCACTTGGGAACCCTGCAGCCCAATGGTATCAATGTGGATTTCACAAGTTTCAAAATCTCCCCTCCCCCTACCGCATCCCAAAACCAGTCCAGCTCGTCCCTGCCTCCCTAACCTGTTGTTCCTCCCACCTATCCCCTCCTCCCACCTCAAGCCGCACCTCCATCTCCTACCGACCAACCTCATCCCGCCCCCTTGACCTGTCCGTCCTCCCTGGACTGACCTATCCCCTTCCTA